AAAATCATAACTTAAAAATATTATAATATTACAATGTTCATTTGATTTTTAAATTCAAGTAAAACTATAATAGTCGATATAAGCATAAACTTATGAAGAATAAGGTTCATCTTTCACTCCTTATAACTATTAGTCACTATCACGAATAATATTAATTTGTGTTTTCGGAGTCAATATTTTACATTCACATTTGGTGGTTTTCTGCGTACTTCAGCTTCTGTTTGAAACATTTTTCTTACAGGGTATGCATACATATATATTGGTTTGTACGCTATAAGCATTCGCTTACAAGTACATATGTATAAGACATAAATGTGTTAAAAACTTCAAAGCCCACAGCAGCATAAATATATATGTATATATGTATGCAAATTACATAAAATTGCTTGGGAAAAACTGTTAATGGCCTTTGAATATAATTGACTAAGCAATTATAATAAAATCACAAATTTATATAGTAAATAGCAAAAAATAGTACACCACCAACTGATAGCCAGCAGACTGCATATACTCGTACAAGTCCCATGCTTTATTTATTTCTTTATTCCTTCTTTTTTTTTTGCACAAGGCATTTCCACTTCCACTTACACCCAAACTTTGTAACGATGGAAAACGTTTCTTCAAAGACAGCATTCTCACTCCCGTTTTTATTCGATTGGTTGAACAACGTTTAATCAATAATGTTAATTAAACTACTCTGAATACATTAAATATAGTTTTTCACATTAGATTCTACCCAATATATTATCTATGTGCAAACGTTGACGAAACAATTTCAATACTGCAAAGAAAATGACATCCAATTGTAGATTTCTGAAGAAAAAAACATGTGGATCTAGTTTTGCTTTTGAGGCATTCCTAATTGAGATCACTTGTTTGTTTTTTGAGCATATTAAGTTGTTTAGAGTGTATGTAATGTGTATTTTTTCGAAACAACGCCGATCTATTTTTAAAACTATTCACATAGAAATTATTGAGAGCGCAAGTATAGACGATTATTCGCAAATTTCGGATTCTCTCTTGTTTACCTTTAGTTTGGTTGGTTGGATTGTGGAACGCAGACGAAGGTGGTTGGTCGGCGAATTTCTAGTCAACTAAACAAATTGATTGTTTTCGTATAAAAATCTTTGACGGGAAATAGGTGCTCAAGAAGCTACCACATCCCAGCTGATTCCCATGTCTGTAAAATCTGTAGACTCTTGCGCGAGAGAGCAAGAACCCTTGATCCCCGCAAATGTGATTTCCCAATCGGTGCTTAAAATATTTACAAAATAGTTTAATTTCCAATATTGCAGATGATGTTGTTAGACAAGCAATAAAAACAACTGCTTGATTACTTCGATTTATTTCTTCGTATTCTTTTTTAACGCAACTCTTTTATTACTAACAGGCCTATTCTGTCGAGGTAACAAAATTTACTTTGGTATTAAAATTTGCCATTTATTTATTTCTGAGTTCACTGTCACCCTGTAAATTTTGTTACCAGCGGCAAAGGAGGTGACAAAAAATCTACTGTTTGATTTTGTGTTGTTAATGAAAACCAAAATGGTTTAGGCCGGGAATTCATTGCCTTTGGAAGATAGCGTTATCATTCAGCTTTTTTTTTTATCGTTTAGGCATATTTTCCAAAATTACGTTCAAATTTTTATGATTTTTTTTGAAGTGGACCGTCTCCCATTTCGATTTGAATATTCTTCTTTTTTACTACACCAACTGGCAAATGTTATTTGACAAGGACGAAAAAGCAGTGCTGTCCAAGTTTTTTCAAATATTGTAACCAGTTTGCCAGAATACCAAATTTAATTTCTGGTGTTAAAAAAGTAACTAAATTTACTTTACCGGTAACAATGAGAATAGGCCTGTAAGTCTGCTTAAATCAACTTTAGCCTGACAGTAAGTATACAAACCTTAAAACTAAATTGAAAATGTGTTACCTCGAGTTAACTCGGAGCCCTTTTCGAACTATGGATCTCTTTACACTTCGCAGCAATGAATTATTTTTAAGTTTTACAAGGTACTTCGTTCTGCTCTTTTCAATTTTAGGGACTTAACCAGTAAGATACTAAGGTCTCTATGTACATTTACGGTGCAAATATCATACCCCACAGTTAAATACAATACTTCCGAATCTGCTTTATAATTGCATTTTAAATGAATACTGTGTAATCTAGTTTTAGTCAAAAGCTCTTATGTAAAAATTAATTTAAGGTATTTACTTATAATTTCATATGTAATACGTTGGCAGCAATGCGTCTTTTCCAGAAAATGTACGTCTGTCATTTACTAGACCATTTACAGGCCTATTCTCACTGTTACCGGTAAAGTAAATTTTGTTACTTTTCTTTAACACCCGAAATTGAATTTGGTATTCTGGCGAACTGGTTACAATGCTTGAAAAAAAATTTGGCAGCACTGCTTTTTTCGTCCATGTCAAATTACATTTAGCAGTTGATAAAGTAAAAAGAAATATATTCACACCGAAATGGAAGACGGTGCACAAGAAAATCAAAAAGTTTTATTAATTTGTTTATTACATCATAAATATTTGAACCTAATTATAGAAAATTTGCCTGGACAACAAAAAAAGCTGAATGAAGACGTTATCTTATAAATTAAAGAGCTTTTTTTAGTCTCGAAAACTTCCTAAAATGCGGCTTTTTGCACTTTTTTCTTCATCTTCAATGAATTCCAGGCCTAAAATATGCTTCCCATTTTGGTTTTAATTTTTTCTGAAACTTACAACACAAAATCAAACAGCAAATATTTTTGTTACCTCCTATTTCGCTGGTAACAAAATTTACAGGGTAACATTGAGCTCAGAATACGAAATGGTAACAAAATTTACGGAATGGTAAATTTTAATACCAAAGTAAATTTTGTTACCTCGACAGAATAGGCCTGCTAATATAACATTGAATCTGATTGCATGACATATTTGTTGGTGTAGTAAAAATAATAATAATAAAAGTAAATAAATACAAAAATAGTCAAACGAACGCTACTTAGATCAATTGAGAAGAAAATGGTACAAAGAAACGCTATCACAACCGTCCATACATTTGTCCAAAATAGACAAAACCTGGAGACAACCGAACGCACATCACAATTTTTATAGTTTAACTGGTCAAATATACCGGTATTGGTTTCTGGTTTCGTTCTATCCATATTGGTTCATTCCAAGATGAGAAACGATCGTCTATATATGCTATATTCTCCTATGCATCCGACATAAATCCTATTGGAAGCCAAATATTCAAAAGAGTAACGTCCATCGTCCTTCCGAGTGTATTTCTAAAAAGATTAGTTTAGGTTAAAATGGTTAACTGCCAAGGCTGTTGTTCTCTTGGCGATTTGAAGTATGTATTTAGGCTCTTTTTTGGTGTTTTCTAATTGAAGATCCGTCATCAAGACTGGCCATCTTTGTTTGCGGATATGTAGATAGTCACATATTACGTTATCTATTGCCCCCACCAAACATAATCTGTGACGGTTTTGTGATGGCAGCCGGGGTTCTAATCTCTTTATTAGTAAAAAGAACTTAAAAAGCGTTATGTGTTTTGCAAAGAATTTTTCCTATTTTCTAACTCCTTGTTCCTTCCCAAAGTCTATTAGCGTGACGATACAAGAGCGTTTCCTTTTGGAGGAAATTTGGAATAAAGTGAAGATTTCTGCATTTGTTAAAAAATATCACAACAAAGACACACAAAACCGATTTCAGGTCGATCGAAAATCGCTTCAGGTTCGGGAGCAAATATGTATATATGTATGTCAATCTCCAGGTCCCCCGATTTCCTTGAAAAACACCAAAACGCACACCACAAATTGGAGGAGGACATCGGGCGCACATGATTTCAGCGATTACAAGGCGCCAATTATATATACATATAAATATATATAAAAGCGAGTAGTTAAAATTAGAGTGCACACATTTTTCTTGGTGGTCTTAAAATGCCAGTACGTATATTTGTATGCGTCATGCTTATTAAATACGTAGTTATGCCAAATACACTTTAACCCAAATACTGCAGACAGACACACATACATGTCCATACACAGCTGCCAAGTGGCGACAATATCGAAATTCAAACCCTTAAATCTTGCCTGTACATTATTATCTTCATCCCAGCACGCAGGATTACGTCATCCTTAAAGGATACATACGAATATTTTCCACCCAAATTAAAAGTTCATACTATAAACCAACGAAAAAAAATTTATATATCCAAATAATGATGTGAGCACCTGATTAACTGTAAATAAACCAGCTAAAATATCTAAAGAATTTTACCTTAATTTTAACTTAATTATACAAAATAAGGACAACTCCATAGAGTAAGTGTGTGTGTGTAAATATTTTGATGGGACCATAAGTGCCTATTTTAATGCTTTTAGCATACACAAACACAAACAAGTAATTTTGTGAATTTGCTACACAATTATGCTTTTAAGTAAGTCTAGAAGCTATTTCTGTACTAAAAAAATATGCAAGGTGTGTCCCACAAAAAACGATACTGTCAACATAGTTTCTTTGCGAAGTTCTTAAATTTTCCAAACTCATCTATCCCAATAATGCCTTCGCTTACAGTTCGCTCAAACCATATTTTGTCCAACTCCGTAAACGGTCTGCTGGGAACAACGGAAAATCGGCGTAAGACTGGACACATGCATAAATCCGAAATGTATTCTAATGTCCATCTTCGATTTTTAAAGTTGTTAAAATATCAGGCTCTGACTGGTCAATATTCAACGCCAAATGTATTTTTTTCTACTGCCAACCTGGTAAATATATTCCGAAGCGAATAAAATCAACACTGACTCTATTTTTGACTCAAGAGGACTTAGAAGCGGTTTCAGGTCCTAGAACTACTACATAAAATAAAAACTAACGTTCTCTAGCAAAAAGTAAAATATTGAGAAACGCTGGTCCGGCTAACCATGGGACACACATTGTGTACACATTGTACAAATACATACATACTTAGTTTCTAAATAACACTTACTGTGCCATGATGTACAAAATGTTCATGCTTGGCTCCTCCATGTTTACCCATGTGATGATGATGGTGCATTGGTGCTCCACTCGGTGGCGACGACAGTTGCGATGGTGGACTATGATGATGATTATGATGGTGTTGTTCCTGATGATGCTGCTGCTGATGGTGCGAATGCGGATGCGGATGGTGATTGTGGGATGTTGGCGGTGACGGCATATTATGTCCGCTATGTGGTAAATGTGATGAATGCTGCATACCAACTTGATGGCCATGGTGATGCGGTACATGGCCTTGTGATGCCTCCAGCAGCGTTGGTTGTATGTGCGTTACGAATTGTGCCATTTTTTCGGGTATTAGGTGATATTCTATTTTTTATGTTGTAATTCTTTAGATCAATTAACTGTCACGCTTTTTCAAAATTTGGTTTCTAGCTTTTACTTATTTTTAGTATGTGCGCTAACTTGTACGCACTAGAGGACACTAAACATTTATATCGCGCTTTTAATATCTGCTTTTATAATATTTCAGAATCGTATTTGTATATATGTATATATATGTATAGATATTTAGCCAGATTTATTCTAAAGGGCTTACACAAATCTCTCACTTTTCTGCAAATTTTTCTTAAGATCACTTTAAAATTTTTCCCACGTACAACTACATACACGTATGTACTCTCAATGGAATATTTGTAAATTTTCAAAAATTTTAAAAGCCATCCACATGTATAAATTCCTTTTTTTATTATTTATTGCTTCACAGCTTTTGTGTAAAAAAAATGAAGATTTTAAAATTACTCAATACCTTCAAAAACGGTTAGATAACTTTTGGCTTAAAAATTTTTCACATTTTGTGGGTATACCAAAACTTGCAGTGTGTATATGTATATGTATATCTGGAGTAGTAGTGAGTAGTACACGCCGTGGCAGCCGTCAGGACAACCTTTTGCAAGGAACAATGTCAAATAACTGATAGCGCTTTCGTAAAATGTTCTGGTTTTAGCCTTTGCCTTTTGGCATTGCAGGATTTTCCTTAAACAACGAGCATCGGGACACTTCGGTAAACGTATATTATATGTATGTATGTATGTTTGTGTGCGTATGTGTGTGTGTGTGTACATATATGTGCGAGTGTAAATCATGTGAACTTAGACGTCAAAAGCCCTGGCCGATTGTTAGTGTTGGTGCTAACAGGGCCAAGCACCTCAGCACCTCGACGCCATCAAAAGCAAAGTAAACACAATATGAGGAAGCTACAATAACAATAGAAACAACAAACCCTATACAAAGATGCCACAAGCGAAGCTTTACTTATTTGTGCGTGAGTGTATGTGATGTAATGTGTTTTTAAAAGCATCTATGTTAATGGTGACTCCGTTTTCTTTTTTGTGTTGAGAGGGTGAGCCAAATGGGGTGTTGCCGCGCTTGCGATGTGACTAAGATGTTTCGCCTTAACACGGGAGAAGATTGGTGGCGCGCATGCATGTGAGTGTGTGTTGTTTAGAACTGTGATGGAATTTTCGTTTTGGAATTTGTTGTCTTTGATCGTCGTTATCATCCTTACTTTTATTTATAACGTTACATTAGGTTCAGTTGCGGTAGAGTTGTGTGTACTGCACCCTACAGCCGGCATTAAGTATAGTGAGTACTACTAAACGGGTATAAACAATGACTAAGCAATGTGTTTTACGTGGCTAAACTCTGCAAAAACATCGCCCAGAAACAACTAAATAAAAGCAGGCCTGACTACTGAAGGCTTTGTAAACTCAGGTCAGTTCGTAGAAGATGGACCCCATATTTTGGGATACGACTGCTTTTTTCTTTCTTTTTTCAAAAGCAACTTAATTCAAATATGAAACTCTCTTTTCAATAAGTAGCTTAGAGTCGATTAATTGTTTTCTTAATATGGAAGAACGCGTCAGATATGTTAAATGTGCTACAATGAGAGTTCGAATCAAGACACAAGAACAAAATAGAGCTGATTTCGAGCATGTCGAAATCTTTATACCTTTCATTACTATATCAATTTTATGGTATCTAATGTTATGATTAAATATTCTATTCCGAATTTTTGACAAGTGTATAAGTGTATAGAGCTCTAAATTTAAGCTCTTGGATTTTTTACTCCAAACCTCGTATCTGAGCAATTCGATTGAATAGTGGTTGTATGATATAGTCCTCCGTTTTCGATGATTTTCAGTATCAATAAGTAATTCATCATATGTTGAATACCATATTTCAAAATATCCAATCTGAAAAATCGGTCGTATATATGCTGTAGTAGTACGATCTGTTTAGTTTCGTCGAATTGTCCTTTAACTTGCGTTTGTGTGCAAACAGGCAAATATACGGACAGACGGACGCAGCTAACTCAACTCGTCATTCTCGCCCGCTCGATGTAAAATTTAATAGGACTATCTCTATATATATCTATCCTTCTGGTAGTTACATATTTCAGTCCAAAAATAACATACAATATATACATATAATTGGCGCTTTGTAACCGCTTAAGCGATTTTCGGCAGAGCTTCTCCTACAATTTATGGTTTTGCGTCTTGATGTTGACCTACAGTCGATGTTGACCCACCTTCCTAAGCCGCCTCCGAACCGCTGACGGTTTGACCTTCCCTGCCGAGGGGCGACCGCAATTAGAAAAATCAAATTAATTTTTTATTTAAATTCATTATCTATATCTTTTGGATGATGTCCGAACCAGAACTCGAACCCTGACCTTCCGTATGGCATGCTAACCATTGGCTGCCGCGTTCGCCACTAGTTTGTCAATGTTACATGATCGGATAATTGAGATTTTGCATCATATTTTTCAATCACTGGAACTGGAAAACCGCTAAAATAGGAAAATAATACAAGATGGGATGATTGGTTTAAAATTAAAAGCTCGCATATTATTCCTATATAACTAAATTTATAAAAAAAAATTATAATTTTACCCATGTATATCCCAACTTCATTCGCCTTCACTATAAATGTATCGACGTCAGAAACATGACTCAAAACATTGCCGTAAAAATACGAAATGAGAACAAAATAGAATTAGTGATAAATGGCAATGAAAGATGAATAGCCAAAACTTGTTGTTCTGACGAAGAAAACAAATATATATATATATATGTATGGCATGCATATACATTGTATGTATGTATATATGTATGTTATACTTGTATATGGCTAAGTATCTGATAACATCATTTAAATGCAAACATACATACATGCATACAAGCTCAAAAGCACAGAGAGCGAAGGTGCAAAGTCCAAATCAAAAGCAGAATCTTTCAATATTAAAGCTAGAGTACTGCTGAGAAAATTCATTTTTATTCGTATTGGCGACGTATCATTGTCAGGAGCGACGAGCCTTCTCGCGATCAACAAATAATAAAGTGCGCATACATAAATACACATATACGGTCGAAATTTTTTACCAGTCCTAATTTAGTTTAATAATCTCTTGTTGTTCATGAATATTTTTACGCAATCAAAAATGGTTTTCTTAAAAAAGGTAAGATAATTTTGGTTGTGTTAAAAAATTTGAATAATTTATAGAATAAAATTCGGAATACACAAACAAACCGCTATTATGTTGGTAAAAGTGAAATGAGACTTCGGTCGTTCAATATAGAAAAAATGTGTTGATATGTATTTGCTTATGTGCAGTAATTTATATGCATACACATTTGCATGGCATTCAAATTGGTGTTTCTAATATCGACAAAGAAAGTTAAACTTTTTAAGTTGCACCAAGTTGTTAAAATCGAAAAATTTTGACATGCGCTTTTTTGTTATAAGTTAATAACTTAATTTCTGTTATACAACAAAGAAAAATGGTAAGAATTGTAGAATTCGCAGCTGTTTCGGAGATCACCATATCTCTTCATCGGATTTATTCTGGTGGTGATGGAAACAACGGATCCTGCCTCAACAGGCGGGTGTATCAGCCATGTAATCTATTGTTGTATAATTTACTTAATTAATAACCAACAACTATTAAGTGCCCTACTTTAGCCGCTATGTTTTGTCTACGTCATAAAGTGAAACGAATGTAAGCTATGCAAAGGTGACCACATATTTTGTTTTTACACATGCTTACGCGAAAAATCTAGCAAAAAAATAAGATTTGCGAAGGACAATGGGCTCAAATCCTGGTTAGATTTTTTTCTTTATTTTATTTGGAGGCAGTGTTTAAAGATACATAAAACACTCGCTTTGATTTTTGTTTGCTTAAATTCATAAAGCAACGTCACATGCTCGGAAAAAAATGAAATAAAAAGTTACAGTTCATTCAATCCACAATGTTTCTAAGCTGCTACACCGCTCTGTTATTTTAATTTGTTTATTAAATTCTTCTTCATATATGTATGTATGTACGTCAAACCTGTACTTCGGCCTCTGCCATTTGATTATAAACATATGCTTATTCGTATATGTATGCATGTGCATATATAAATATATTTTGCTGTGGTGGTCCTACTTTATATTATTAATATATTATTTGTTTAAATGGAATATGAAATAAAATCAATTCAATTTATGATAAGATATATGTATGTATAAACAATAGTACTGTTCGGTGACTAGATGGGCCGTAACAAAAAACCCAAAAAAATTTGTAATGAGAGTGCGCAATTTTTACGTTTGGTTTGGAGAGAAATTTGAAAATTTGTTTGGGAAAATTTTGTTAAAATACATCTAATAATATCAATATATCAATTGCATAGTTAAGGTCCTCGTTAAATGAGAATGTGGTATCTATCAATGGAGTGGAATCATTGGCATTAAAGCATATAATTAGAATATATTATTATTTTTTGTAAACCACACGTTGATTTAGGAATTCTATAATTTTCTAGAATCCAGTATCGACCAATGGAGCCCCAAAACAAATTCGATACAAAGTTTCTGCTACGGTCACAGCGGCGGTAATGCATTCTTAAGCTTCCGGAAACGACAGCGATCACAAAATGAAATATTAGTCTCGTTTAAAAGGAAAAAAAAGAATTAAAAGCAAGGCAGAAACTCCATAATAATGTTTACTTAATATTGCCGGCTTAGACGACAAAATAATACCCATCATATTTCTATCATCCTTCCAGAAAATCTAAAAGACAAAATGTTGTTCAAAGCAATTTCTATAAAAATCATCATCATTTTCGAGGATTTTAAAAAAAAGCACATTGGTATCCACTTATATGTATCGTTGAACGGCTATAAAGCATGAATACAATTACTAAATTAAAAATTTTTAAATGCCAATTTTATTGAAATACTTGAGAAACTTAAAAGCCGAAAATATAATGAACGAATTTAAATTCAGCCGACAAAATGAACAGCAGTTGTACAACTTGCAGCCTATTCGGTGAAAATTCAGTAAATTCCTTCCTTTGGGAGAGTAAGACATCTTACTCTCTCATTTTCGTTACTGGCTATTTGGCTAAAGGAATTTAAATAGGCACCTTTATTACTAAGTTATGAGAGCCTTTTATTAACCTACAATGTTAACCATTAATTGCTTATGCGTTTATTTATCTACATATGTACATATGTACTCATTCATTTACAAAAAAAAAAAGAAAGAAAGAAAGAAATTTTCTCATTTTATTTACAAATTATATTGTAGATAAAAAGAAAGCATAAATTCCAACAATATGTTAAAAACATCTTATAAATTCAAATTGGAAAGAGAAATTAAAAATATTCAAAGTGAATTCATTTTGGTTTGGATAATCAAATCTCAAAGAAATATAATTAATAGTCCTCGTAAATGATGACTGATTATCCGAAAGAAAGGCAATTTCTTTTTAGCGAAAACATAAATAAGAAATATAAAAAATTAATTTGTTTATAAACTATTAAAAATAACGTTTCTTTTGGTTAATTCTTAAAATTCACATATTTAAATTAGCCAGAATAATAGGTGTCTCCAACATAATTAGTTATTAATATTGAAATACTGTGGTTTGGCCCGCTTTATTATTATTTTTTTTTTTTTGACTCAATTAGTCAGATATTGGTACTAACCATTTTTGAGCATAGAAGGTATCAATTTCCGACACGTTTCAACAGGAATGTCATACCAAACTTTCTAAATAATTTCCCATAACTGGGTTTAATTTTGGAAAAGGATCTTAGAAATTTCCCTGCAAGGAGATTCTCTATAGTTTTGGGATCTATGGATTTATTACGTTCTTGGGACCATAATTTCGCAAACCGTCACGATGCTTCGGATCGTTATCCTGCTCAAATCCCCATAACAGCGGTATATTATCCTCGGCATATTGTGAATATATCAACCCGATATCGGAACTACACCTTCCCTCAAAAAGCAGCTGCCTTCAGCATGAAATTCTTTTCCTTTCGGGTGAAGAACTTTTCTTTTCGCATCGTTACTAAACAACTTTATACGCCTCTTTTTTCTCCCTCTGATCCGCACGAAGTGCGGAAGAGGAATCTGTTTTAAGAAGAGGAACTTTGTGACTGTGCACCTATTATTTTGTCCACCTAGTATATGTAACATATGTATATGTATATATGTATCCTTGTACTTTAATAAAATTCTTAACCGCATAATCTCTAACACAACTTTTTCCAAAGTTCAACTTACAGATACCAAAACTATGTAATTTACTTTCCGATTTGTGAATTGCACAGCAAATATATTGTTTCGAATATTTATTTAGAATGCTCAGGAGACCTTATAATAACATACATATTTACGTACGTACATGTTCATTCACTCCGCGAAATGCGCAACAATAATAATTACAACATTAAAAAAATAATCATTTTAAAATATAATAAATAATAATGAATTGCAAATTTATGTAAGCAGCCGCTCTCTGATCAACGTATTTATATGTACCTTTATTGCTTTAATGGCATCTTAAGGGCATTATCATTTACTCATCTATTTTTAGTTAACAAGTATTGATACGTATAGATTAGTTTTAAGATTATGGTGAGATTAAGGAAAATTGGAAAAGAATTTGTTTCTAAATTTAAACGACTATATACATATGTATGTAAATTTAAAACCCTGTTTTATTTTTTCAGGTTGTTACCAAGCCTCTCCGCCATTTGGCAGCACGGAGTTATGTAGGCCTTTCTCATATCTCACCCAATGGCCCTTCTTTCGGTATAACCGAGGACCAAAAGCAAATGCAAGAGCTTACACGTAAATTCGTACGCGAAGAGATCATACCCGTAGCGGCACATCATGACAAAACGGGCGAATATCCATGGGATATTGTTAAGAAGGCGTGGTCCTTAGGTTTAATGAACAATCACATACCCGCCGATATTGGCGGCATGGATATAGATTGTTATACCACTTGTCTGATTAGCGAAGAGTTGGCTTACGGTTGCACAGGTATCATGACAGCGCTGGAAGCTAGCAGCTTAGGTGTAAGTACATATGATGAATGTTTTTTTTTTATATAATTCTTTATATTTTTCAACGATTACCTTGCTATTTCAGCAAACACCCGTTATTTTAGCTGGCAATCAGGAACAGAAAAAGAAGTATTTAGGTCGTCTCTTGGAAGAGCCAATTGTTGCTGCTTATTGCGTTACAGAACCTGGTGCCGGTTCCGATGTGAATGGCGTTAAAACGAGAGCCGAACGTAAGGGCGATGAATATATTTTGAATGGCCAAAAGATGTGGATCACAAATGGTGGTGTCGCCAACTGGTATTTTGTGCTCGCACGCACCAATCCCGATCCGAAGGCACCAGCCTCTAAGGCCTTCACTGGCTTCATTGTCGAACGTGACACACCCGGGCTTACGCCCGGTCGTAAGGAACAGAATATGGGTCAACGTGCGTCAGATACACGTGGCATCACATTTGAGGATGTGCGTGTGCCCAAAGAGAATGTGTTGATTGGTGAGGGTGCCGGTTTCAAAATTGCTATGGGTGAGTAATAGTTTCATCTTTGCTTGCGTGTAGTTACATACATATACATATAAGTATTTAACACGCGTATGTGTGCTATATTAACAATTAGGTACCTTCGACAAGACACGCCCACCAGTCGCCGCCGGCGCTGTCGGTTTGGCGCAACGTTGTTTAGACGAAGCGTTCAAATACTCGCTGGAACGCAAAACTTTCGGTGTACCAATCGCAAATCACCAAGCTGTACAATTTATGCTCGCCGATATGGCGATCGGTGTGGAAACATCTCGTCTAGCATACAGACTGGCCGCGTGGGAAGTGGATCAAGGTCGTCGCAATAGCTACTACGCCTCGATAGCCAAGTGTTATGCGGCGGATATAGCGAATAAAATTGCCAGCGATGCTGTGCAGATTTTCGGCGGCAACGGTTTCAACAGCGACTACCCTGTAGAGAAATTGATGCGCGATGCGAAAATCTATCAAATCTACGAAGGAACATCGCAAATTCAGCGCTTGATCATTTCTAGAAATATGTTCGAAGAGGCCAAGCAATCCGCCAAATAGGTTAGCGCATATATTATTTATTTCAGTAAAATATGTAAATGTAGTTAAAATCAAAAAATGAAAATTATGTAATTTTATACGGAATGCTTGATTATTACAAGTAAAATATGGAATAAGAAAAAAATGTAATAGAGTAATAGCGATAAAAAATATATATGCATGCATACATAAAACATACATTTGCTCTAACGTTAGTTATATAAACCTAGCTTTGTGGAAATGCCGTAACGCGTAATGCATACCTACGAAGTTCAAATATTTCACTAGTAGCAAAACACGGCTTTGATAGTCTTTTGGTCACTTTTTAGCAAAGAGAGATTCATTTCGATCGTCCTTCGATCAAGATATCGCACAACCATCTTCGTTTTCTTAAACACCAAAGCATTATTCGTAAATCTCATTTCATATTGCGAATAATTGTCAAAAAGAAAAAAACAGAAAATCCAATACAAGGCTTCCCAAAATTGTTTCTTCTTCATTTTTGTTTTGCTATATTTATTATTCATGTGTATTTTTAGGTGCATAATACCTATACATACATACACTTTCTATCTTATCAGCTCAAAAGTTTACGAAGATAATTAGTTTTTGTGTAAGGGGGCAATTATTTTCCAAACCGATAGCCGATAACCCCTGGTAGCTTGTGCTAATATAGTTGTTTTTGTAATTTTAATCATGATTAACAATAAAATTAATAATAGTAATATTTTCCAAAACTTTGCACAGTGAGCACTTGTTATGTGGTCACTGATATGCAAACGTCGGCGAGCGGCGGCATTATAGCTAATGTTGTTGTTTTTGCGGCTTCGTTAACCCCGCTAAGGAACAGGTTAATTAATCTAAGTCACCGAGGTCATCTAACGGGAAGGCCAGGAAACGTGTTGTTTCAACGGGATTGGACCAAAGGTAGAGGGGGTTAGATGAGTTGGTTTAAGGGGACATGTTAAGAGGTTAGTGTCGTGTGGAGACTCTCCACGTGCAGGGCATACGTTGGATATGCTGGTGTCGAGTCTGGATAAGTAGGAGTTTAACCTGCTACAGTATGCAGACCTAAGTTGTGCCAGTGTCTCTGGAGGCAGCTCGATCTCATTGTCTGCAATAATTTGTTCTTTTAATCCGAGTACGCCATTCACGAGAAGGGAGCCTTTGAAGGTGTTGACTGACTCCTGGTGTATGGCGGTCAGGTTGTTGTACGTGTTTATGTATTATGTCCTTCATATCAAGCGGTATTGCGGTCGTATACGGAGTGAAGGAGTGTAGGCTGTCAGGGTCTTTGGGTTATTTATGGTCGGAATTTTCACATCATCGATCTTCATATCTAGTTCGAACCTGCACTTCATCCAGATGATGAAGCTGGTGGCCGAATATTTAGTCGATTGAATTTTAAGCTGTTTTGCTGTGAAGAATAGGGACAGGTCGGCGAGATACCTGTTCACTTTCGAACAAAGGTCATTAATATCAAGCCAGATGCCAATATCGTGCAATAATCGACGAATGAAGTTAAGGAAACCCCTTCTGGGTAGAATATACCGCTCTGCGAAACCCTTGTTTAATTTTCTTTACTTTCGATGGTTCTCCTCAACCTCTGCACCTCCATCGGTAATGAGGATTTCTCAATGTGTTCGCGCACAGGGTCAGCGTTAACTGCTGTTGCGGTATTGTGTACTTTGCGGAAACCGTACTGATGTGCTGCTGGACTCAGATGGTAAGTGAATGTTGGAACCCTGCTCATTTTCCACACGTCGGGTATCTTTGGGGTGGATAAAAGATAAATTGAGGACCTTATCGAATCGTCTATCTTTTCCGCTAGCTCCATTCCTCTACGATCATTTGACAAGCTAGAATGCCCAAGACTGTGTTGAGCGTTAAAGTCATCAAAACCAAACTATGGTGTAACACACGGAACAGACTGTGTGGAGGACTAGAATCTGCAGGGTAGCTGTTGCACGGGAGGAGGAAGAGGAGCTGTTTGTGGGTAAGGGTGGGAATTGGTGGGAGTTATGCTGCGGGGAGCTCCGTGAGGCCGTAGGGGTCTGTTGGTTACCCAAACTGGGCAAACGTGCTGAAGGCACTGGTTTCGCAAAGGCCCTGATAGGTAGGATTTGAAGCAGCCCAACTACGAGGTGTTGCCTCATTTGGTGCACTTAAATTAATGTTATCTGGTGAGTTAAACGGGGTTAGGTCGACCAGAGGGTGACGGCCCTTGGATAAAATCCAAGTCAATCCCGATTCGTAGAACTGACTGTCTTAAGAGCTTATCAATCCCAAGCATTTCTTTATATTTTTTTTCTTTTTTATACTATACTTCTGTCAGGCAGACAGCACCCTGTTTATTCGAAATTCACTTTTACACAATGATCTGTTTAAATCAATATTTAATTAAAAAAAACTTGTTGTATTTTTGCTCAGAGTAAAAAATTAAATGGTAAAAATTGTTTATCACCTAGTTGCCGCTTATCAGACTAATCTATTACATGTGAACTACACATTTGTATTGTTGTGATTGTCTAAAACGCGAATATTTGTCAAAATATTCAAAATTCTTATCTACAGACTATTTCTAACATTAGATATTGAAGCAACAATCGGTTAAACATCGCCTTCATCACCAATTCTGCAAAAGATCCGTTTCATTTGTGTATAGCACCAGATATTGACAGTATGATTTGAAATGAGCCTTATCGCCCCAATGCAGTTTCCAAAGATGGCGTAGTCGTCGCTCGTACTCTGCGTAATGGCCGTCTTCTAATGTTAGCGATAAAAAGCTTGGAATTTGTTTCATTTGCTCCATTTTCTCTAAACGTTCGTTGTCTATTAAGTTCACACAATTCAACGCACATAGCTTACGTAATTGTGTTAACTTAGTAAATACCATTTGTAAGGCAGCGGCAGTTAACCTAACATTATCACTCATGTCAAGCAGTTCCAAATCTGACGCCTTTTGCAGATTTTGTGTTATTTGGTACATGTTCATATCACTAAGATGGCAGCCACGGAGTTGCACGCACCGAAATTGCTCACATGTGCCGCTTTCGAAGAAGGATGTTATGCACTCTGCACTTAGAGTGGTACTGCGTTCATCTGTACGTGTTCTTTCGTGCGTATAACTTATATTGAATTCTTTTAGGCGGGAAGCATTCAATTTATTTAGTAGTTTTCGCATGGAGTCATTTGTAAGTTTGTTATAGCTAATATCAATCGCACTCAACTGATAGTAGGCCAGTTCAAAATCGTGCAAATTCGTTAAATTACAATTCGACAGTGAAAGTTTTTGTATTGACTTCCCTGCATTACTACTGCAAAACCTTTCTAAAACTCTTAAACTATCATTACCCAGCGGATTTTGGCTCAAGTTCAGTTCTTCCAACTCTTCCAGTCCACCTGGCATTGATAGCAGCGCTTCTACTCCCTCCAAAGTTATGAAGTTGCCCTGCAAGTTCAATACCTTTAGCTGCTTCAGTGTCGGTAGGGATTTGGCCAATTGTCGGCAACCTTCATTTTGTATAAAATTATTTTGTAAATTAATTACGCGAAGATTGGTCTGATGCAAAACGGCTTTGAAAAGAGGTTCGGTGGCTGGTGGCAGTAACCAAGCGTCTGCAAGGTTGATGACATTAGATATTTGAGTTTGTTCCAATGCAGTTAAAATTTCACTATTTACATCTGAAAAGATTAATTTTCGAAATGGTATTTGACTAAATTGAAGCCTAATGAACTTCTTACCATTTTTCAATTGATGGCACATTTCCTCATAGCGCTGTTGAAGTGGCGATATCTGCCAATCCAGTACTGTTGCCAAAATCATATTCTGTTCGATCGCCACATTTACTGAGTCATTTTCTTCGTATGCAAAACCATCAGCGGTTTTTAAACGTAACACCGGCTTTAATCCCACCAAACTGCAAAGAAAAGGGTATGAGTTTGTTTATGTTAAATGCACGTAGGACTTGCATATCGATGGTGAAATGTAGAAAAAGCGCCTAACTAAAATTTTGCTCCCTTCTAATTTCAAAACATGAACAGCGGCGAGCTCGTCACTCTTAGAAATACCCCACCTACATAATATATCATCTTGGAAGGCTAATTAGAAATAATTTTCAAAACAACATAAAGACCATTAACTTGACTAAAATATTTGCAGTAAGATTAAATGTTCAAAAATCTATACTTTGTAACAAAAAATTTGATTTTTCTACATTTCGTCTAAGTTATAATATATAAATATATATTTTTACTTATAATAGCGCCTAGCAGCCTCCTCCGCCAGCCAACGTATATTAATGTCATTCAGTTTTTTACGCTCAATTGGCACTAACAATAATTCATTTTCAACTTTTATTTTAAACGAAGTTGTTGTTGGTATGACTTGCGTAGTTTGTACTTTGATTGGCGATGATTTGGAAGGCGAAATAAGTAAATGTATAGATGTTGTGGTGGAATCGGGTTCGTTAGTAAATGAATCGGTATTGAGCATATCATTGGAATTATCACCAAATCTAGGACTCTCGCTACGAAAACGGCAAAAACCATTTTCTAGAAGTGACGATTGTTGTTTTGTCTTACCACTTTTATTGGTTGACAAATTTGAGCATGAACTAATACTGGATGAACCAGATAATCGCAACTTTCTCGTTTGCTTTTGACGCTGCTGTTTAGTTGTGTTTGTTGCTGCATCAAATAAAACTTGAAAGGCATCGTCAGATGTTACAGCATCATCAGCATTCCAAAAGGAATGCATTGGATCTATATTAATATTTTCTTTCGATGTAGTTGTCGTTTCTTTGGTTGGAGTATGGAAACGTCGTTTTTTACGCTCTGGACCTAAATCATCGATCAACCAATCACTATCATCTACCTCGTCTTCATCCATTAAAGCGCTGCGGCGAGATTTTAAAGAGTTTGAGCCGCTGGGAGCACTATTTAGGTTCTCAAAGGAGTTATCATCCAATGTGGGTACACGATTCGGATGCTTCAATTGCGCCATTATTGTTTTATACTCAATACCAGCAGATTTTTCACGAGGCGATTTTTTGTTTGACTCCTAAGTGAGAAAACATAATAATTGATGAAACATATTTTTAACATTCTAGAAACCTTTGAAACCTTTTTATTTTCACCAGAACAGTTAAGACTGGCCCGTTTAGAACCGCATAATTGAATTTCATCAGCTACTAACGTCGTATTTTCCCTATCCGTGTCACTATCTGTGGGGCTCTCAACTTCAGCATTTGTTAAAGGTGTAGCTAGTTTTTTACAAATTCCAGTTTTCGAAAGTGTTGTCAATAGCCTTGACCTAATAATTTCATATTGTGCCTGCTCCCCTTCTGTTAAGGTTGCAGAACGTCGCCATTTATCCAAACCATTCAGACAAGTTTCTCCAAAGTCAGTTTTAATTGCGGTATCAGCACCACGATCCAATAACAGCTCAACTACATCAAGATATCCGTTAGAACAGGCATCGTAGAGTGGAGTAATGCCATCGCAACTCAAACCACCCTTATCATTAATAGCAACAGCTGCTCCTCGGTCCAATAACAATTCCACAATATCCCGGAATCCATGATTACTAGCCTCATGCAATGGAATCCAACCAGCATGATCGCGCACGTTCACAACATGCCCCTGGTCAAGGAGTCGCCGTACTAGTTCAACATTTCCCGCTATACAGGCTTGATGTAGTTGTGTTTCACCTTTATTATTACGTTTAATTGTGAGCGCACGCACTCCACGCGTTGCTCGATGAGGTCTTGGTTTTTCTGTCTCATCTAAATCACTCATATCCGAATCGGTTAGATCCTCAAGGCAAACATCGTCGCCCAACTCAGGCGTATTTTCATCGTTTCCTACGGCTGTGTCTGCTTCGGACTCAGTATCACTTTCGTCTTCATTAGCTTTTAATGTAATACCTGAAAAGGAGGATACATACATGTATTTATACGCCGAATTTTATGTATCGCACTTTATTATAGTCAACCTTTTTCTTTCGCTTCTGTTAGTAATTCGTCTGCTAGCATTTGCATTTTATGCTTCAGCATTAGCCTTTTCAGACGCACAAAAACCACACGTTCTTGTTTTGCTCTTTCACGTTCATTTATATTTTTTTCTGCTTGTTGTTTTGCTTTTTGGTAAATATCCTGTATTGTCCAAAACGATTGCCGCTGCTGCTCACATACCTCGGCAATGGCACAGAGCGTTGAAAATGCTTCCGAAGGTACATCTTTATTAAGCTCATACTCCTTCCACAGAAACAATAGAGCTTGATCGAATTCCTTATTGTCTTTGTATGTCTGATAGAGACTAACATAAATAGGTATAAAATTCTTTTCTGGCTCTGAATTTTTTTCAGCGCAACTTAACATTTGGTGGTAATAGTCGATGGCTTTAGAGTAGTTTTGTAGTTGACAACATCCGTCGCCTAGTTTCTCATATAAAGCTTTTCGATTTGAATAGTCTATAGAGCTGGTTGTAACTAACTCATCCAAGAGTTGACAAATTTTTACAACTGGAAATATAAAAAAAATTAATTCAACTGATATATCAAAAGGGTGTAAATAGTACGTTATATAATTTCAATAAACTTACCAACCCGTAGAGATTTTTCAATTGCGATACGATCATTCTCATCGGGTGTATTCTTCTTATAAGCTTTAGTTAATATTTGCTTCGCACTAGCAAAGTCACCATCTTTAATCAAAATCTCTGCTTTCGTAATTAACGTCTCACATATTTTCTTGACCCTATTCGGCAACCGCTTCGCCACTTCCAGTGCTAAGTTACAGTAGCGTAGCGCCAATGTCGAGTCATGCTTTTTATAAAAATATAGCAAACTCATCGAAATGTAGCACAAATGTGTCAATTCGAATATATCATGCATTTTACTGATTTTAATTGCTTTTTCAATATAGGAAATTGACTCTTCGAATTCTTCCATATGTTCTTTCACAACACCTATATTAAGATAACAGCGCGCCTGCATATCCAATTGTTCCTGTTTGGAAATTTGACCTGAAAGTCTATAAACATATAATATTTATTTATGTTTTATTTCTGATAAATAAACTTTCTTCAAACATACTCCTTAATTAAAAGCAAACTTTTAAGAAAAGCTCTTTCTGCATGTTTCAGCTGATCCATTGCTGACCCAGCTGAACTTTCGACCATGCTTTGACCATGCAACAAGTGTGCTCGCCCCAAAGTAGCATATGCTCGCTGTTCTTCCACTTTATTATGTAATTTCTTAACAGTATCTTTAAATAATAATTTAGTGAAATGTACGGTGGCTTTTGAGTATGATTTACTCACCAAGGTATAGATTTATATGCTCTTTAGCTTCAACAAACTCGCTAAGCAACATATACATTTCCCCTAACATGCGCTGCGCTTTTGCCATTTCCAACTTTTTACCAAGTTTGGCATAAAGCTCAGCTTCCTGTTGATATTCACGAGCCGCATTTTGATATTTGCCTTGTTGATTATAAAAGTCACCTAGATTGTTGCAACACGCAGCCAACTGCAGATTATTGCCATCACTTCGTGCCTTCAGCTTTCTTTTGATATATCCTGCAAATGGAATAAAAGACAACGTGACAATTTCTAGAAATACACATTATCATTAATTTACGTTTTTCATCCATAAATCACTGCTTGCAGTTCAACTGATAAAATTTATATGAACCTTCACTTAAAAAGTCTCAGAAATTCTACAAAAATATGCTTTTCTTCTTTTCCTAGCTTGACGAAAATTTCGTAAACAATTAGATATGTACAAATATAAAAAAAATTACACACACAACAAAATAACTTATCGGTCCAAAATAGTGCGACATATATCGATAAATCATTTATTGGTTCCAAATTCATACAATTTAAATATT